ATGTATGAGGTAAATATTCAGACATAATGTATGAGGTAAATATTCAGACATAATGTATGAGGTAAATATTCAGACATAATGTATGAGGTAAATATACAGACATGTATGAGGTAAATATTCAGACATAATGTATGAGGTAAATATTCAGACATGTATGAGGGAGTCACTTACACATGTATGAGATAAATATTCAGACATAATGTATGAGGTAAATATTCAGACATAATGTATGAGGTAAATATTCAGACATGTATGAGGTAGTCACTTACACATGTATGAGATAAATATTCAGACATAATGTATGAGATAAATATTCAGATATGTATGAGGTAAATATTCAGACATGTATGAGGTAAATATTCAGATATGTATGAGGTAAATATTCAGACATGTATGAGGTAAATATTCACTCAAGTTTCAGATAAATATTTAGACGTGTAGGTTAGATATGTATATATATTTTTACCAAACATTTTCTAGTTTGTCTATTATGTCAGAAGTAAGGTTGAGATCAAATATTAAAATATTTTAATTCTTGTTTGGCACTGACTCGATGAAGCATCATTGATGGTATTATAAACAGAGTTGCTATAAATACCCTAGACATGTATAACACATACTTAGAAACCATGTCTCAGTTCACTTTGTATTACTTCAGTATGTTTGTGTGTAAGATTGTTTTTTATATATATTTACAGCCAGTAACTTCTCGCCCTGTATCCTGTACCTACATAGTATACATGCCCTGGGCAAGGACAAGGAGAGAAACACGGACGGTAGGAATTACATCCTAATATGGCCATTTATTCAACAAGTAAAACAATAATCAAAGGATGAAGGATAAGCATCAGTTTTGTGTTTCCTCTTGTTTTATGTGTTTTAATCGACCTGTTTATAGTTAATTGTTAATTTTGATGTTTGATCAGATCCGAGGGTGGCGAGTAGTTTTCAGCTGTGTCTCCGACAGCAGAGGAGGGAGCTACTTGAGTACCCTGTTATTGTGATTGGGTCTACGCATTCACCTAATATGCTTGCTGCAGATGTGAGGGACTCTTTCCTTCACGAAATACCGATAGAAGTAAGTATCATGTTCCTGTAAGACACCAAAATGAAACTCGCATTTTCACTGACATCAGTAACATTTTCCGGATGTTATCGGAAGAGCTCTTGCATACGAATCGATCACACGACCATCACATGACCGCCACTTGAGAGCTCTCGTGATTTATCGTTGATAACATAGTTGAATCTCGTAAAACTTCGAGTTAACAACAAAGGGAAAATGGTTCACTGATCGATCATAACAAAACGTGAGGTTTTGAGGACTTTCCGTAAATTCATGTCCCACGCCATGAGACTTTAACAGAGGTGAAAATCCGTGAGATTTTGTCTCACGCCGTGAGATCTGGCATGTATGTGTCCCTCATTGCCCATCAACTTTTCCTTTCAACAACTTCTTCTGAAGAATGAACAGGCCAAGAGTCATGATATTTGGCTAAAAGCTTCGCTGGTACGAGCCCGACAAAATTTGAGAATGAAAAATGACCTTGACCTACTTTCAAGGTCACAGGGGTCAAATGTGTCAAACACTTGAAACAACTTCTGAAGAATTGAAAAGTATAGAATCTTCATATTTGGCTGGTGGCTTCCTTGGATAGAGCCCTACAAAGTTAGAGAATGAAATGACCTTGACAAACTCTCAAGGTCACACGGGTCAAATATGTCAAGCACTTCAAACGACTTCTTCCAAATAACTTAAAGATATAGAATCTTAATATAGGCTGGTTATTTCTTTAGATTGAGCACGACAAAATTTGCGAATGAAAATGACCTTGACCTACTTTCAAGGTCACAGGGGTCAAACATGTCAAAAACATCAAACAACTTCTTCTGAATAATCGAAAACCATAGAATCAAAACATTTGGCTGGTGGCTATGGCTTCTTGGGATAAAGCTCACCAAAGTTTGCAAATGAAAATGACCTCAACCTACTTCAAAGGTCACAGAGGTCAACAAAATTTCAAACGATTTGTTCTTAAGAACCAAAAGGCATGGATTCATAAGATTTGGCTGGTAGCTTTTTGGGATAGAGCCAACAAAGTTTGAGAAGGAAAATGACATTGACCTACTTTACAAGGTCACAGGGACAAATATGTCAAACACTTCAAACAACTTCTAAAGAAGAACCAAAAAGCATAGAATCATATACCAGGTAATAATATTTGGCTGGTAGCTTCAATGGATGGAGCTGACAAAGTTTGCGAGTGAAATATTTGTAGTACAGTATACTATTTAATGAGAATATTTTGCTATGACTGCTTAAATATTCAGGTGAGTGATACAGGCCCTCTGGGCTAAATTTCTTTTTAGCTTAAAGTTTTATATTTGGAGCAAACTTTTGGGTGAACTTATCAATTCTTCATATACTGGTACAATAAAAACACAGATTTACTGAATCCAAGACACTTCAATTGGCTGTTCATTTATTATTTTGAGTGATTCTGATGCTTACAGCTAAATATTTTGCTAGTTTTGGTGATATAATGTCATTAATAGTGTCTTTCTCTGATGTTTACTTTTAAGAGATTAAATGTGCTAAAATGAAAACTTAGACCATTTGGATTCACAAATAAATATTGGAATTTTGCAGGCACCTAATGAGGCGGAGCGGTCTGAGATATTGGACGGACTGCTACAGAATGTCAACTACTCTGGGGATTTATCAGGACAGTACCTTGCTCAAAGAACAGCAGTAAGTTTGACTAAATACAGTCTCATTCTATGGTTTTCATGGTAATTCATACCTGCAGTGTAACATATGCAATCTAATAACAAGGATGCATATTAAGTGAGTTTTTTAAATTCTTAGATTTATTGTATGAATGAAGTTCCGTTTATCAGACTGGATGTGAAAATTATCCTTGTTGCGGTGTATCCTTTGATATTCTTAGGAAAATTAATATTGATACATTGAACTAAATGTAAAGATAATTTTGATATTTGTGTTGCCAGGGTTTTATATTAGGAGATCTGACTGCACTGATTTCCCATGCAAAACAGGATGCCTATGGAAAAGTGTGTAAGCTGTGGTAAGTACTGTATTAATCTCACCTGCCATCTGGACGTTGGTCCCACTTATTGAACCTTTCAATAGTATGTATGCATATATAAAGGGTGGGGAGACCGTTTTGTTCATTCTAGTAGAAGGACAAACAAATACACAGGGTATTAATCTCAAACATTTGAGGACAATAGGACCTGAATATAAACCTCTGAAATACACTATAGAGTAGCGTTTGTTTTATCTGTTTAGTGGTGACGGCCGCCACCTGCTGTCGTATGACGAAGAGGAAGACTTATCCATGGCCGGAGTGGTGGTTCAACAGGAGAATTTTGTGTCTGCCTTAGACAAACTTCAGGCTGCTCACTCAGACACCATTGGGGCACCCAAGGTAGAACTCGTTTTTGAAGTCAGTCGAACGAGAATTATGTTTGTTCAGCACTCATTTTCAAACAATATCCAAATAAAAAATGGAAGCAACTGTTGTCTTTGATCTGCACTAAGAGGTATGCCTCAGCTGCTGTAAAAGGTTTTGATGCATCTCTTTTCATCTGCCAACTTACTAATCATCAACCTTTTATATTAAATGAATCTTGATCATTCTGATCATCTGTGTATGATTTTTACGAACTTACTATTGTGCATACATATAACATTGGAATCAATTTTGTACATGTACTAGATTCCAAATGTAACCTGGGCTGATGTTGGAGGCCTGGCCGATGTTAAATCTGATATCCTCGACACTGTACAGCTCCCTCTACAGTTTCCTGAGCTGTTGGCTGCTGGATTGCGGCGATCAGGTTAATACACCTCCATATGCATTGTGCATTAAGTTCACTCAAGTATTGACAGTTGTAACTTTAATGTGTTTATCTCATCATTACCTTATATGTGGATGACAGTTATTACCATGACTGATGTTAAAGTAAAATAACACCATCAATCATTTTTTCATATATTACCTGATATGATATACTATCAGATACACATATATTACCTGATATGATATACTATCAGATACACATATATTACCTGATATGATATACTATCAGATACAAATATATTACCTGATATGATATATCACCAATTGTGCTACAGGTGTGTTATTATATCATCCTCTTAGGTATACCTGTATGTTAAATGTATAGCTCATCATTACCTTACAGGTGTGTTACTGTATTGTCCTCTTAGGGATACTTGTGTGTTATATGTATGGCTCATCATTACCTTACAGGGGTGTTAGTGTATTGTCCTCTTAGGTATACCTGTATGGTATATGTATGGCTCATAATTACCTTACAGGTGTGTTAGTCTATTGTCCTCTTAGGTATACCTGTATGTTATATGAATGGCTAATCATTACCTTACAGGTGTTTTACTGTATTGTCCGCTTAGGTATACCTGTATGTTATATGAATGGCTCATCATTCCCTTACAGGTGTTTTACTGTATTGTCCTCTTAGGTATACCTGTATGTTATATGGATGGCTCATAATTACCTTACAGGTGTGTTAGTGGATTGTCCTCTGAGGTATACCTGTATGTTATATGTATGACTCATCATTACCTTACAGGTATGTTACTGTATTGGTCTCTTACATATACCTGTATGTTATATGTATGGCTCATCATTACCTTACAAGCATGTTACTTTATTGGTCTCTTACGTATACCTGTATGTTATATGTATGGTTCATCATTACCTTACAGGTATGTTACTGTATTGTCCTCTTAGTTATACCTGTATGTTATATGTATGGCTCATCATTACCTTACAAGCATGTTACTTTATTGGTCTCTTACGTATACCTGTATGTTATATGTATGGTTCATCATTACCTTACAGGTATGTTACTGTATTGTCCTCTTAGTTATACCTGTATGTTATATGTATGGCTCATCATTACCTTACAGGTATGTTAATGTATTGTCCTCTTAGGTATACCTGTATGTTATATGGATGGCTCATAATTACCTTACAGGTGTGTTAGTGTATTGTCCTCTTTGGTATACCTGTATGTTATATGAATGGCTCATCATTACCTTACAGGTGTGTTAGTGTATTGTCCTCTTAGGTATACCTGTATGTTATATGTATGGCTCATCATTACCTTACAGGTATGTTACTGTATTGGTCTCTTACGTATACCTGTATGTTATATGTATGGCTCATCATTACCTTACAGGTATGTTACTTTATTGGTCTCTTACGTATACCTGTATGTTATATGTATGGTTCATCATTACCTTACAGGTATGTTACTGTATTGTCCTCTTTGGTATACCTGTATGTTATATGAATGGCTCATCATTACCTTACAGGTGTGTTAGTGTATTGTCCTCTTTGATATACCTGTATGTTATATGTATGGCTCATCATTACCTTACAGGTATGTTA